CATGGGCCAGTACATGAGCACAGCTCCAGAGGGCATTGGGAACAACACCAGAGGCTCAAAACACCAGTTGCTCATAGATAGAGCAGTTGCCCGAGACTCAAAGTCTAGGCAGACCAATCTGAGCACAGCCAGGATTAATTACAGTAAAGCCTACGACTCCATGCCACACACATGAATCTATGAATGCCTGGCACTATACAAAGTCAACAGGATATTAAGGACCTTCTTCAAGAACTCAATGGGACTGTGGAAGGCAACACTGGAAGTCATTGCAAGTCAGCTCACACAAGTGGCCATCAATTGTGGCATATACCAAGGTGGCGCACTGTCCCCACTGCTGTTCTGCATAGGCTTCAACCCCCTCAGCCAGGTACAAGTTCAAGAGTGGAACTACCATCAGCCACTTCCTCTACATGGATGACATCAAGCTGTATGCTAAGAGTAAACAAGACATCGACTCGATGACCCACCTGACAAGGATCTACAGTGAGGACATTGGGATGTCATTCAAACTGGAGAAGCGTGGCTGGATGGTCGTAAAGAGAGGGAAGGTAGTTAAGACTGATGGAGTGGAACTACCAGCGGGCCACATAGCACACAGACAGACCAGCTACAAGTACCTTAGTATCCCACAGTCATCATGCCAAATCCCAAAGCGGAAGTACCTTTTGGGGTACCGATCCAAACAGCATGCAAACCTTTGAGCGCTCCAAAGGTCTGCGTAAAGTGGGATGCTGCAAAAAGCAACAGATGAGAAAAGAAGCAAAATTGCTCAAAAATTAGGCCAGACCTAAGACTGGGAATGTAGACAGAAGGTGGTTGTCAAGGGTGGGTGTGGGCAATGTCAGGTGGCTGGGGAATTCTGGGAGTTGAAGTCCACCCATCTTAAAGGCTCCGAGACTGAGAAACACTGGGGTACACTAGCATTCAAAATGGGAGGAGGTATGTATCTGTTTGCCCCACCCGGAAAATCAAAGGCCAGGTACCGCTAATCTGCCTCCTGCTCTGACCTTTGCATTTTCCAGAGCTCGGGGCAGCCTAGCTCCCATTCTTTCCCCCTTCTCCTGGGCGTCACCCGACCCTCAGAACAATCCCACCCCTCTCTCTTGCACCCAGCCCATTCTGAGACAAACTAAACCGCAGGGCTCTGCGGCTGGAAGACCGAGGCCTGATCTTTCTTTCTCGGGTCTTCCAGACCGGCTGCTTTTTGGAGGC